CACATCGCCCACAGAATATTTCCCCAGATCATGCTCTCCAAAATAAGGGCAAATTAGTCACATTTATTAGGGTGTGAAAGTAGTAAGACAGATGCTTTGTTGTAGGGTGTGGTGCTTCTGCACAGTCCTTTGTTTACCCAGCTTAATCTGGTCAGATGCAAGCAAGATGTGCTTTCGTCAGCCTGGTGCTGTGCTAGGGCCCCAGCAGTGCCTATCACATTGTCCTCTTCAGATCAGCCTCCCTGGCTTGGAGCACAGGTGGAGCAAGTGACAGCCCATCTACAGAAGGCTATAAATCTGACTTCACACAGACAAAATCCTGTACTGCAGGGGATAAATTGAGGCCACCAGCTGTTACGCAGACATATCCCTTGTTCAAGCCAATATGGTAGGTCATGTCAAGCTGCTCTCAAGACGAAGGCTGGGACCCTCCATAGCCTTCAGACCATTTCTAACAGCACCAATGTGCTTTCTTTAAAAGCTTTTAGAAAGGAACAAAGTGGTTTCCTCTTTTCAGACCGGTTTCAGGGAAGCTCAGTTCATATATGAACTGAGATCAAGCTTACAAACTTGTGGAAAACAAGGCTTTCTCCTATTCTGCTTTTCTACGCCTTTCTTTTTTTATAACCACACATCTATCTTCCTCCCAAATGACCCAAAAGTTCTTCAGGTAGCTTTTTAGGTTGTTCTACACACACAATCAAATTAAAATAATGTCATTTTTTTCATTTATATTTTCCAGTTTATCTCAATGCAAGCCTGGCTTGAAGAGACATCTTAATATAGAAAAAAAGTACAAGCTGTTTTCATAAAACACTAAATAATACACTGCTATACTTCTGTTCTGAAATAAGATGGTTCATGTGACAGCTTTCACTAAAGCAAAAAGGTGTGAATTAAAACAGGCGTCATTATGTTCGTGAAAATTAATCTCTTTACAAGCCCTAAATGAGAACACAGTTTGCCGCCTTCCGCTTCTCTCCCAAGCACTGATTTCAATAGCAAAGACATAGATGGTAGCAAATATTGTTTTGTAAAGGACCCCCTCACTGTATTTCTTTCCTTGGTAGGAGAAACTGGAATTTCATTTGTTTGCCTCTGATCCAAGCCACGAATCTTCTCTGTTATCAGTAGAGAGGTAGGAGAAACTGAAACAACATACTGCACGAAAACAGCTGGTGCTGCAGTGGTTCAATGGGCAAAACCTCACAGAGCACCCTCTCTGTGCCCAAGACCCTTTCCTTAAAACATCAGGGTTTGTGTGTATCTGTACCTATAGCAGTACCTGTCTATCTCCGTATATATTTCTAGCTTCAGTTTGCAGCCTCTGACAGTTTGCCTCATGCGTTTGGCTAAAACAAACCTGAAAGCAAAGGCCTCACTACTACGAAGGTATGAAAATCTCGATAATTGAACAAGAATTTCCTAGCTAAACAGTTTCCAGAGTCGGATCTCATCGGTGTCAGTCAGGCTCAGAAAAGCCATTTTCCTCCTTCCCACCTTGAGTCCGGCGTCACCCCCGGTGGCGGAGTGCCACCCCTCCCGGCTGCTGGGACCAGGCCGCAGCGTCTGGGCCTCTGCGCTACCCGCACCGTGCGCCTCCAGCCACCGCAGCTGCCTCACTCGGACAGAAAACACTGCATTTCGCCCTGTCCGGTGCACGTAGCATCGACCTGCCGCCCGTTCCCTGCGCAGACCTCGGTGAACGGGCAGCACCTTCCCGAAAAAGGAATCGGGAGACGCAAAAAGGGTGAAGGATGGAGGGAAGGGCGTCTGGATCCAACAGTAAGTTGGAAAAGAGGTTGCACTGGCGCTCGACGCTTTGCTTTCGGGGTGGATGTTGATGGAGTCTTCCTGTTTGCCTGGTGTTGAAAAAAATGTCTCTAGAAAACGAAGCATTGTTTCGGTAGAGAAGTGTTTTTCTTAAAACTCTTTGGTCCGTCTCAAAATCAGATGTTCTGCTTTGCAAAGGTTTATTTGCTTTACATGCACACCCGCCTGGGTCTATTAAATTCAGGACTCCCACAATGGTTTTCCCTTTCTTTCTTCCACCCTTTGCAGCTGCAGAGCAGCATGATATATTCATAAGAAAATAACGGAAAAAAACTTGATTTGGTTTTCAAACTTTAACCCAGTAAAATTGTTTCCCATTTTTTTTTTTCCTCATTAGAGTCCAAACTCCCCAGGAGTTACAGACACTGTGTTCCACACAAGCAGAGCTCAAGACCTTACAGAATTCGAACATTAATACACAGCTTTTTCATTTCTGTTTGCAGGATGAGGCATGGTCTTTAAAATTAAAAGTAAGAACAGGAGCTTGGAGCCAGGCTCTGTTCCCAGCTTTCCATGGTCCAGTTGTTCACCTCTGGCCAAAATGCTGAGCTTCACTAGAGGCTGTGAAACAAGATTATGAAATGCAAACAACTACAGACAGTCTTCAAAATCTGCATAGGAAAACTGCTCCAGATAAGAATCACACCATCACTCTCTGTATGTGTATACATACATATACAGAGAAAGATTCCTCTATGATTTAAAAAAATGTTCAGCTTTGCTCTGGTAGCATCTTTCAACTCATATACCAATAGCACCACTGGAACACAGGCGTTAAGTAAATGATGAAGGAGCAAATGTTTGGACAGGGATGCTGAAACAACAATTTCTGTAAAAAAACCTACTTAGTTGGTTAAAAGTCTTGGTCAAGCCCTTAAGTTTCTCCTTGCCTCAGTTGTCACACATAGAAATGGAATAAAGGAATCTGGTATTACAGTAAATATGTAATTATTTCTGAGGTACTTGGATCCTGCAGTAAGTAAATATCTTTTAAGTATCTACAGCTCTGCTGAGCAAAGTACTGAGGATTTCACCTGACAGCTGGCATTTCCAGCAAGGCATCTCACCCCATTCTGGATGTTATCAGCACTTCATAGGGGAAACAGCACTGATAACGTGCCTGTGTACCAGGTACCTCAGTTCACACATTCCTTCCCTCCCAATACACACCCCCCCCAGCAAAATCAACTTCTCCTATAGTCACTGAGCTTCCAGTGAGTGAACATGCTGCCTTTTTTGCCAGCCTTGCTAAGGAGGGACAACAGAGCAGATGGTTCTATGTAGTGATAATGTTTCAAGAGCCCCAGGCAGGAAGATGGGCAGAAAGCGGTGGGCTGAGGTTACGGCAGTCCCGTAATCCCGTCCCAATCCCGATCCCCACCCAGGCAGGCTTCACACCGAACACAGCCAGAGCTAACGCAGAGGAATCCTGGTCACAGGTCTCTGGTTAATCAGAGGTAGGAAAGCACATTCAGTTCAAGTGGAAATCCTTCCAAAATAACTGACAGTAAAACCGTGCTTGTATTACTCAAAGAAGAACTTTAGTTTTCTACCACTTAAGGCTTTCCTTATGAAAAACCTCAATTGCACTTCATAAAACTTTCAGGGATTTTCTACTAGGAAATGAGTCTGATTTCATTAGTTCTTGATTACATCTAACCTTTTCAATTCCAAGAAAAAGTAATGCATTAGCACTTAAGAGATATCCTTAAGATCATTTTTTCGGTGCTATTCTATTAAGAAAGCAACTAACAGTCAAAGATGTCTAGCACAACTGATTTACCCAGGTCTCTCTGGTGAAGAATGTCTTTCTGTAGCTTTCTGAGCTACAGGGACATTGTCCCTCACTCCACTCACACTCTGAAAAGAAATCTCCAGTGAGCAATTTTGCTTTGTAAAAGTCACAGGAACATCAGGATGTCTCCCCATACAAAAAGATTACTGTCTGGTGCCTTAAGTTCAAGACCGCATAAATCCTTCACATGTCAAGACACGTGTTGGCCATTTTTAAATTATTTTCCTGCTGGGAAATAAGAAAAAATTTGAGAGGGCAAGGTAAGATTTTTAGCAGTCCTCCAGCCACAAATAATCAAAAAATTTGTGCATTTGATATGTCATTCTTTTGACAGACCAGATCAAGGCAGTGCTACTGAACACTGTCAATACAACCATCCATTTATTTGTGTGTCTTTTCATAGAAATATGTCCAGCATTTACCAGCTTTGGAAGGGGCATAAAGTTAGCAAACAAAGTTATAAACTCCTCAGATACATCTTCTAAATGTACAAAGCCTGATTTTCTTCACCCCTATCTGCAACTTCTGGGGAATTAACTACATCTCTGGGTTTACTGTTGAGAGAAGATGACCGGCATTGACTTCTCCCAGGAACTTTCAACGTGACTGCAAACATATTAAATCTGGGAGTCCTAAAACAAGCTACCTGAGAAGGAAAAAGCCCATAGTTTTTTCTAGCAGCAGAGTTGCTCTTATATTAAGCGAAAGAAACGAGGGGTATCAGCACTTTCCAACTGCCTGATTGTAACTTAACCACTCTCACGGGGAATCAACCCCTCGCCGGCAGCAGCAAACCCTCCCCAACAGCCAAACCTGCCTCCCCAGCATCGGATCTGGGATCCGAGACGGAACGACCTAAGGCTAGAAGCTGGTGAAATCGTTTTTCGGGGGGGGGGGGGGGGGGGGGGGGGGGGGCTGCGCGCCCTCTGCCGCGTTCCGGGGCTCCCCCGTCGGCGGTGGGTAGCGGGGGGCGGGATGCTGTCCCCGGCCCCGCCGCCCCCACTCGGGACGGAGTCCCGGAAGGGAAGCGGACCCCCACCCACCCACTCACCCCCCGCGGTGCGGCCAGACCCACCCGCAAAGGCCCTGCTTGTTCTCTGGGCACCCCCAGAGAAAAGTCGTCGTCGTCGTCCCCCCACCCCCCCCGCGTCCCCACAGGATGCTCTTGCGGGGGAGGGGGGGGGATGCTCACACCTCTCCCGAACTTCACCAAACAGGCAAGAAACCGCTGCCCCGTGGGGGGTGCAACACTCCGCCAGGGATGCTCGCCCCATGTCGTCCCGGGGAGGTAGCGGCCAGCCCCCCCCCCCCCCCCCCCCCCCCCACACACACACAACCTACCCCCCCCCCCCGTGTCCCCGCCGCCACTTACCCCACAGCAGCACGGCGGGGAGGTGCCGCCAGCGGCAGCCGGGCGCCTCCATCCCGGCACGGGCGGCGGCGAGGGGCCGCGGGAGACGGAGCACCGCATGGGGCGGCCGGTCCGCAGCCGCGCAGGACCCGGGCCCGCCTCAGCACCCCCCCCCCCCCCCGCCTATCGCCGGGGAGGCTCCTCTTCACGCCTCGGCGTCCAGCCCCGGGCGGGGGCGGAGGGGAGCAGCGCCTCCGCCCCTGGGGTGCTCCCAGCCACGGGGGCGGGCTGCACCGGGTGCGCGTCTGAACGCGCGGGAAGCGTACACGCGTGAATATGCATGTGCGTGTATAGCAGGGCAGCCTCCAGGCCCTCCAAAAGCCACCCCCCCCCTCCGCAAAGAGGGATGCATCTCTCAACCCACGGCGCTGAGGGAGGTGGGGGTGGGGGGGAAGGACCCTCCCCGCCATGGGGGGGGGGGGGGGACGGACATTCCGGTCCGGCGTGTCTGGGGGTTCGGGGACTCCTGGCCCTCTGCCCAGAGCAGCCTCCCCGCTCCCGCCACAACATGCCGGGGGGGGGGGGGGGGCGGTGAAGGCGTGAGGGGCTGGGGTGGAGGGGGGGGGGAAGGGGGCCGCAGGGGTTAGCCCACCTTTAGGTCGGGCTTGCAGGGCCCCCACGTGTTAGCATGATTAATATTTACAGCTGAACGCGGGCCTAACCCCACGCAGCGCCAGGGCAGGCCAACCAGGAGCAGTTAAGAAAACGCTTCGTGCGGTTTTATGTTGCCATTTCATCTCTGCGTGGCTCCTTTCCGAGAATGGTATGGCTCCTAATTCTCATCAATATTTAAAGGCCATGTTCCTGGAGCGCTCTCTCTAGGAAATGAGTGTCTCCAGCAAGAAGCACCAGACTAAGAAGCCTTTTCTTAGCTAAAAATAATTGTACTACTCAATAATAAAGAGCCAGAATGTGTTTCTAGGTACATGGCTACTCCACCTCAGTAACTGCCTTTCAGTAGAACATTAAAGGACTGCCGCAGCTAGATGTGCCCTAAAACTTAACATTTCAAAAAGATATTCCATGATTCCATTTCAAAAAGATTTCCGTGCCATGCACGAGAACAAAGCGTACTTGTACGTACCAGTCGCGTTCTTCCCGCTGACTTGGTACACCTGCACAGCACAGCGCTTTCAAACAGCTTTGCAGAGTGGGACCCCAACGCAGCAGCGGAATTGCGCAAAAGCAAACTGCTTTATCCGAAAGCAAACTACTCAATGCACAAACTCCGTCTGATTTGTGCTGTTTACCTAGGCTGAAGGAAATGGAAAACTCGGGAAACCACGGAGAAGGCTGGGAATCCACCGTGCTGAAATGGCTCTGCAGACACTTAAGTCTGTCAGTTATAATGAACCTCCTGTCATCTGTGTGACACTTTTTCCTCTGAGCTGAAAGCAAATCCTGTAAAATACCGTAAAGCATAACTAAACCATAACTCGGGGAGACCATCCTTCAGCAGAGTGACTGCCACCTCTGCTTTGTAAGGAGTGTTTGCGGGCTGCCCCTGCCAGAAGGAACTACAGTGAAGTGACAAGCGTGAAGGCATGTACACCACCGACTTGCTATTGCATCCTTCCTAAGAGTAAGAGCTTGATTTCCCTCATAAAATCTGTTCCTGGCAATATCTGAAGTGAGAATTAGTATTTTCAAGAATTTGGGCTGATCTTCAGGAGGATTAGGGTGTACTGTGCCTTATATGCAATATCATACATTAAATAATGCACAGTACATTACACGATATGCAGTATACAGGCAACATTTTTTGTCACATAGGATATGGAGGTAACGCTGATAATTTTCCTTTACATCTTCTGTATTTGTTTTCTTCACTTGTTTGAGATGAGAAACTGGCAAATTTTAAAAGTGAACGTTACTGCTTCCAACTATCAAACTTCAGCAAGCACTTCCCATTTTATGCTTGTAGAAGGTGGTATGAAGGTGTCTACAGTATCTTTGAGGTAAAATAATAGCTAAATTTATAAGTAAATGGACTAATTTAGAGTGTCTTTCATTGAATCACAAGCCAGCTATGCTAGGTGGTATCTTCAGCAATGTGATCTAAAGTGAGGAAGTGTGATATTCACACGTGTATCTGAACAAAACCGTCACAGCGTTAGAACCATCGGCAAGAGGCAATTTTGGCAGTTTGAAGATTTTCATTAAGTCTACCCCTCCTCCTCCATTGCAGTAACGCCAGGAGACTTACTTCAGAAATGCTGCAAAACGTTTTATTCTGCGAATCTGCCTTAGTAGCATCTTGTATCTACACCAGCAGTAGAAATCCGATTCACCTTCAAATAAGAAATGCTGCCAATGCCCTTTGCCATGCAAAGCTCTGAATCCCATCGCTGACAACATGTGGTAACAATAACCTTAAAACCACTGTCTGTTGTAATTTCCAAACATGCAACCTCCAGAGATCGCACTAATCCTTTTTCAGGTACCCTGCAGACATTGCTGCAATCACATTACTTCAGGCATTGCTTTAGAATACTTAAATCTGCTAAAAAGCCACTGACTATAAAAAAAAAAAAATCATTTATAGCAATAGACGGGTAGATAGTTGTTTCAGTATGGGAAGTCCCCAAGGAGTCTGAGATGAGAAGAAATGGAAGGAATCAAGCCATCCAGGACAGGTATTATCATGAGTGTTCAGGGTGGTGCAAGATAAGGTAATAAACTCTCCTGCTCCAGAGGTTAAACTGATCCAACAGAAACTAAAAAATAAAAAATAATAAAATACATTAATAAAAACCTGAAGACATCACACTACAGAAAGCAACATTGCTTTTCTTTGTCACCTCATGTATCAGCCCGGATAGAGCGGCTGCTTGCCTGCATGGAGAGACCTTGCCCAGAGCTGGATGGAAAGTTTTCTTCTCTTCCTAGCTCAGCAATTTTATATAAAAGATACATTAAGATTTTAAGACCCCATTTTAATGGGATTGCTTCCTGTCGTGAGGTTTGAAAAAGTACGTTCAGTTCATCTGTGATTTTAAACTGAAGTAGGTCAGCTTTCCCACTCAGTGCTCCTAGGAGCATGCCTTTCCTGATCCAGAAATCAAAAAAACTGATAGGCTTCTGCAGGTCATTAAAATAATTTCCTCCTTTATATTCTGCTCATGTAATTCCACACAAATCTTTTTTCCTGTCTTTTTACCATCAATATAGGAAATGTACAAACATAAAAAAAAAAAAAAAAAAAAAAAAAGTTAAAAAAATGGCTTCTTCCTGTGACTCAAAGGCCACACTGCACTGCACATACTGACTGCACATAAAAGCCAAGCTGATTTTAAGTCAGTCAGGTTTGATGAGCTGAAACTGTTCATGCCTATGTTACATGAACTGAAAGGGGGGGAAAGGACATTTTTGTATGTAGAGATCTTTTTTTTTTTTTTTTTTTTTTTTAACATAAGAGCAGACATGGATTAGGGAAACACATGAATATTCTTCCAGCTTTCTAAAATGTTTTTTTTTAAAGCCATGTGTGAATGTGCTCTGTGATTTCAGCAGGGTTCTCGTGTTCAAAGCAAAGCACCTAAGCAGTGTGGACATGTTTCAAGCTGCACTCTATTTCAGAGGTGCCAAGCTGTGAGTATTCAGCACCTCTAAGACCACTTTATTGTACATACCTAGCTATAACATGACAGACTTCCCACTAGCCCACCACATGGGCTTTGCTTGAAGGAACCAGGACATTCAATTATTTTGTTTCCATGCTAGTTTCCAGTATGGTCAATTGTCTAGATGCAAAAAAATTGCAAGCTACTTGTATATCCTGCACCATCAACGTCAATACCTATAACTGATCAAAATGGTTCCACAAGTGTTGCGACAGAGATCAAGGGAAAGCAGACAGATTTTATGGGAGAATGGCAAAAGCTGTCTTTCCTCTCTCTCTGCTGGAGGGAAGCTCCCCAGCCACGGGTCCCCCCCGCCACGACACCCGCCCCTTGTTTTACAGCCGGTGATACAAAAGGCTCTCATCAAAGGACCCAGGCACGCATCTGTAAGAGCTGCGACGTCTTGCTGATTCCCAGCTTGTTTTTTCTTATCAAAAGGAGCATCCCGAGGCTGCTGGTGACTGTATGTCACACACACCATGATCTTCTGTTCTTGCTGCACCCGGCTATTCTTTTTCCATACCAGACACAAGCTTTAGCGTAACAGAAAGTCTTTGTAATTTGGCTCAGGCATGCGAAACAAATCATGCCTTCGTTTTTAATGTAAGCAGTAGCAAAATGCACACAGTGCTTTCTTCTGTCTAGACTAAATAAAGCTAAAATTAATTTATGGGTTTTTAAACACTTCACTGTCGGTTACGTTCTAGAGGCCCCGAATTTTTACTCAGAAAATACAATAATTTTTCATGACAGGCTGGCTGAGCAGTTTGGGAAATGCCAGCAAGGGAATACGTAGACTGTCTCCATGCATGGTTACGTCTGAGAAATAACAGCTTGGAAAATCAGGGAGAAAGGTACAAGAAGAGAGATGGAAACACACACCTATATTATTTTCTTTTTTAAAATAACATTGTTTCAATTTCTCTTCATACAAAATCTTACTGAGCTGAAGTCCAAAATCTTACAAGATTGAGTCACCAATACTCATGCTGAAGAAGTATTCAAGGATCATTTTATAACTTTTGAAGTTTGGCTGACTGCAGAGGTTGGTGAAGCAGGACACAGTACCAGCATAAACCCACCTGCAACAGGAAGCAGCAAAACCTATTTGCGTTCTGTCTGAGCCCAGGATTTCTGACTCCACACGTGGGCTCTGATCAGTGCAATTATGAACCAGGCAGCATCTCCTTAGCATGAAAACAGACTAATTGCCCTTCTTAGGATGCATGAAAGACTGGCTTTAGGGCTGAGCAAGACAGATCCCAGGACACTCTTAGATGGGAAGTTCCATAAATTTCCATTCCATGATAAAAATGCAGCACTATATAAAATGAAAAATATTGCCATAGTAAATAAAAAGTTATTTGGAGGCACAAAATGAGTGCAATACATAACATTTCTAATTTTACACTCCTAATTCCTACAGTAGATCTCTTTCTAAAGAAAAATAGAAAATTAAAAAAAAATGTTTTCATAGAGGCTGAGTTCAACCTGCGATTACATTCACCCAGTTAGATTTCTACCATAATAAGTCATCCTATTTTAATCTTGTCATCTATACAGCCCCAAGGCAACCCTAGTGCACGCATAGATCACTTCTTTTCACAGACACATCTCACAGTATTTGCTACAAATTGCAAAAAAAAAGGTGAACCCAGGC